TTCTACATATTTGCGGCCACCGGAGACACACATTTTCATTATATTTTCACCTTACATTTTCCCAAGGAAGCAATTACTGTTCCGTCCTGTTATTCCGTTACAAGGTGCGCTATCATTTATCAATTCTCAGGAACAACGGGTGGTCAACCGAGATCGTTTGTGGGCGTATTCAATGTTGACTGCATATGCATACTACATTGACAGACTGTTTACAAATCGTGGTAGCAGCAAGGACGTTGTGGGTGCTTTCAAAATAATCCTTGTTGCTTCCGACGTTTTCGAGGCTCTGTTTTTACACTGCCATCATATACTTACTCTGTTTCACCGTGACAAACTTTATTTTTCAAGATGTAAGTGCGAGTTTGGCATTAGAGGGTGTATGTTCTTGCGTTCTGAGATCTCATTTTTGGAATCTTCAAAGGACCCTGTGCACGTGGAGTCAACAGTTGTTCATGGGACTCTAGTGCTTCTTCATCATGATTTTCCTATCATGTTGATGTTGATCTTCCCAAGCATGTTGTTACCAGTAAAGTTATGTTATGGGGATTCTGTATGGGGAACCGGAGATGCTGTTGACGTGAGAAGATCAGTGGGAACCGGCGCTGTTCTTAACCCAGCATTCAATTCCATTTCTATATCCATAGCGTTGGTTTGTTCGAGTAACACTCATTGCGAAGCAAGCAAGCTCGTGACGTGTGGAAATTTCAGCTTACTCGTAGATAATTTCTCTATGATGGCTCTTTGTCTGACGCAGTCAGTCACCATTGCAGTGTTGTTCAATGGCGGGATTTATCGCTTCAATGAATTTCCATATTTGAGTCTATCTAACCGCAATACTTGTTTGCTCAGCCATTATCGGTGCTTGTCGTGGGATACTAATATGATCATGTGTTCTACATCTCGTCCTCAAGCGTACACTCGAGACATAAATACCAAAGCTCCCCTTTGGAGACACGAGGAACTGGTTCTTCACTGTCCGTTGGAGTTATTCATTTTGCTAGGTACGGAGAATTTCCATGGAGAAGCTGTTGCATTTCGTGCTGAGGAACTTACACCAGTGGAACATCAGACACATCTCTCCCCAAGTTCTACATTGTCGAACATCCCTCTTGATTGTATGAGCCGGAACGCTGACTCTCCGCAACAACTGGCAGAATTACTTCACATGGGGCTCGTTCAAGTCTTTCTGTCGTGTTTGCCTTGTTGTTTTCAAACGCAAGCGGTTCTTGGAGGTTGTTTTAAGCACGACTTAGTGTTTGACCCACATCTTTCCATGTAGATGGCATTCTCAGAAGGTATCTTTCTAGTGCTGCTTCTCATATGTTCAGATTCAGACGATGACTACAAGGTCCGGATTCGTGGTCGAATCCTCTCCCACCTAGGGAGACCTGATGCAGCGCATCCTCAACAACGATTCATTAAGCTCGTTAAAGACTTTTACTTGTTATGCAAGTTTCGTCTATTTAGGCTTTTGTTTTGGTTTTCTTTTAATTTTAAGATAAGTACAACTTTTTAAGAGATTAGGATTAGAAAGATACAAGCGTATCTCGTTCTTTTAGTATAAATAAGGGATCTTTGGCTTTGTAAAAATCATCTGAATTTAAACCTTTTGATTAATCAAAGAGCTTTTTAAGCACTAAGAGGAGTACTCTTAATCTATTGACTTATCGATCTTATTCGATTAAGCCAAGATCCGAGTTTGTTTCGAGTTCTCCAGGAGTGCTTGTTTTGATCTCGTTAATTAGCTTCCGCTGCTCCATCAAGAGGGCCGTGAGGGTATACGATGAGAAAATCGCCCTACGCATATCATAATTTTTTTGCAAAATTTACTGATATGAATATGTTGTTCTGTTTTTTTATTTAGCATAAGATATGTTTTTTTTCTGCTTATTGGTGCTTATTTATCAATTGCGTTTATTGCGATTAAAGTGGATAGTACTATTTAATTATATAACTGAACTTAAAACATGATTGGTTTTTAGTCTTGTGAAATATTCCAAAAACTCACTGTTGCTAGGAAAATCGACACGTAAAGGAATCTATATAATCAATTGGTTGACCAATAATTTGTTTTCTTACAGTATATATATGTTAAAATATCATACACCTTAATAATAAGTTCACAATTGTTTTGTGATAACAATTAATTATTCGCTTTACCGGCCAAGACCCCATATACTGTCTTTCTTTATTCGACGACGTACTTGCGTTTTTTTTAATTGCATACCAAAACAAAAATGCATTGAACAGGCATCTACATATAAAAATGAAATTAGTTGCGGTTATCTGTAACTGAAGAATGAAAAATAAACTAATATTTCATCGACTTCGGAGCCGGCTCAGTTTTTAAATTGTATAATACTATAATTGTATTTTGAGACAATCAAAACTTAATCTGTTTGTAAATATTTTAATAAACAAAAACATTGAAACTCTATGATAGATCATTTTTGTTATTCTGCTGCGTACACTAACACATGCACCTCCTTTAATACGGTCTGATCGATTTATTATAACCTCCTCTATAATACGGTCTGATAAATAATTTAATTTTTGTTATTCTGCATAACGAATAAGTTATTAGGTAACTGACAAATGACAATGAATGGATAAACTTCTGTTCTGATTCCTTTCACACACTATATATACATATGTAAGTATTAAACAGTACACTTGCTACGTATAATAGTTTTGTTTTAATAAATATTGAACCCGATCTAAAAAATGTGATACCTGAATACAAACCAAACAGCTGTATATGTTTGTATAGTTTTTTTCTGTTTGTTTCAATTATTACTGTTTTTAATTGGATTGTTCTCGAATTAGAAGCTCAAATATATATATTGTTTTTTGAGGTCCACCATTATAAATTCTGTTCCAAAGTCAATGAATCTGTTAATTAACTTAAATTTATTATCGAATATGTCAAACAATTGAAAATTCTTTTTCATTTCCACACAATTGCATATAGCCTATAGTAGATCAAGCTTAGATTCTCAAAGCTTTCACACCAATAGGAACAATGAGAAATTCATATAAAATATATATTCAACTTTATAAATTATTTATTCACTTTTGGGAGACTTAAAAAAAAATCATTATAGCCTCACATAAACGAAATGATATGGATTATAAAAAGATATTTATGTACATCATTTTGTGTGATTGATAACATCACTGCAATGTGTAATTGGACCATTATGCAATACCAACTGAATGTATATTTTATACCCTTTTCGAAATTTGTTCTCACTGTCGTTAGATATATATCAATAGATCTATGAATTCTCACTTTCATTAGTTTATAGAGTCATAGAGATGTATATGTTGTATTTGTACATCTTAACTGAAAACGTGACTTCCCATTGAAAATCTTTGGTTCACATAATGTTCAGTTAGGTCGGACTTTGGAACCCTAACAGTCTCTCAACTAAACCACCACCAACATCAATAATTGTTGTTTTGAGTGGGAATATATATATGTTTTTTTATATATTTCTAATCTGTTGCACGCCAATTCACCATTCAAACAAAATAATCAAGTGATAAAAATATCAAGTAGAAGAATGCGGAAAATAGCGAGTTAAACTTTTTTTTGTTTCCTACTACATTTTGTTTTGTTTTGGATTTCAACTTTCTCATAATCCAAAAAGAAAATTGTCATGCGAGTATGCAACACGACAAACCAATCATTGGAATCAATTTAGCAAGATAAGACGTATATAATTGTTAAAAAAAAAGATTATACTTTTATAATCGATCGTCATGGCTTTGACAAAAAAAAATCGATCGTCATGCATGACATTATCATGACATTAACGATATAAATCTTTTAAAATAAAATAATAAGCTTAAATAAGCATATTGCCTTATTTGTTTTATGGCTTTCTCTGATGTTAATCTGAGTTACATTACCGTGGAAAGAAAGTTACAAAGTTAAACAATCTAGTTTAGGTACATAGAAAATACATGTGCATCTAGCCATTTACAAATGAAGTTTGTAATAAAAAAAAAAGAAACTCTAAAAATGAAGTTTATTATTTGCCTGCGACGCAAGAAGGGCCTGACAAAATCGTATACATCCCAAACGAACTCTAACGTTTTATATATTCTTATAGATAGATTTTATGAAACGAAAAAAACGTAAAAAGATCAATCAAACCAACAGAATCCTAAATAGATCTCTGAAACTAGTGTAAACAACTTATGAATTGAAAATTGATGTTATAAAAAAGTATGAACATTAAATTCAAAGCCAAAAAAAGATAGAAACACATGTTTTTGGGTTATTAGAAATTTTGGTAAGCAAGCTATTGACGGCTAGAGCATACACTCACCATGTAAAAATTAGTCGGGTGATCAAAGTTTAGATCACCTACTAAGTTTATATATAAAAAAAAATATTAACCTCAAAATTAAATAAAAACCTAGTACAATAATGAAACCCTAACTAAATCTAGCAACAAGAGTAACTTTATTTTGTGGAGATGCTATTAGTTTGCTACTTTGCTAGTAAGATAACAAAAACGTTTTTATTATTGACAGTTAATTGTTCAAAAATTTAATTAATTGATGGATACTAAATAGTTTTACTTTTTTTTTTGCAAATAAATACTCTCTCCATTTCATACCATTTCATAAATAGCCTTGTTTTAGAATTTTGTTTTTGTTTCACAAAAGTATCGTTTTGTATTTTTAAATTTTTAAACAAAAATTCAGTTTTAACTTTGTTATATTAATATATTAATTAGAAAAAAAAAGTTGTTTAGTATATTTATAAAGAATAGAATATACTTTTTATTAAATTTCTTAATTTATATGAAAAGTGTTAAAGTAGTATAGTTTTACCACCCTGTTTTTTTGCCAATTTTTAAGCCAAGAATTTGATTATTACAGTTTATGTAGCAAAAGCAAATAGAAAACAGTTTATTTCCTACTCTGATTTTTTAACACTAGGAAACAAAACTTCACTATATAAACTCATTTTGTCTTTCTCTTTCGTTGTCATCAGAAACTTAGAAGTCTCTTTTCTTTCATTCGACAAGAAAACCCAAGAAACAGACAAAACCAAGAATGGAAGGAAGAGTCAACGCTCTTTCAAACCTAAACGACCTAGAACTCCACAATTTCTTGGTCGATCCAAACTTCGACCAGTTCATAAACCTCATCAGAGGAGACCAAAACATCGACAACACACCTCTCGATTTCGATCTCGGTGCTCCTCTGCAAAACAGTCCCTGTTTCATCGACGAGAGCCAGTTTCTCCCCACACCTGTCGATGCCCTGTTCGACGAATTGCCTGATTTAGACTCCAATGTCGCCGAATCTTTCCGTAGCTTCGACGGCGAGAGCGTTAGAGCCGGCGGAGACGACGATTACAACGACGGCGACGATTCTTCGGCCACCACTACGAATAACGATGGAAGCCGCAAGACGAAGACTGATCGGTCAAGAACTTTGATCTCTGAGAGGAGAAGGAGAGGTCGGATGAAGGATAAGCTCTACGCATTGAGATCTCTTGTTCCCAACATCACTAAGGTAAAATACTAAAATGTAAATCGCTTTGAATCAATTTAACAGAACACAAATTTGGGTTATGAAACTGAGAAGAGTGTTCTTGATCTGTGGCGTTTAGATGGATAAAGCATCCATTGTTGGAGATGCAGTGTTGTATGTTCAAGAACTGCAATCACAAGCCAAGAAACTCAAAGCCGATATCGCAGGTCTTGAAGCTTCTTTAAGCTCTAATGGTGGGTACCAAGAACCTGCACCAGATGCTCACAAGACTCGACCTTTTCGCGGTATCAACCCTCCTGTTTCCAAGAAAATCATTCAGGTAAATAACAACCCCAAAAAGTTACTTAATTTGGCAGATTCTATTAAAAACGCTCTGTTCTGCCGCTTATGTTAAAATGGTTATTGGCAGAATTTCTAAGTTTTAATATTATAATTTTCAACCCAATAGTTAAAGTTTGTGTGCTAGATGGATGTTAAATGCAACCCAATTGTTAAAGTTTTCGTTCTTGTGTGCTAGATGGTTACTGGCAGATTTTTATAGAGTTTTTGCCAGTTTTATGTTACAATTTACAACCAAATTGATAAAGTTTGTGTCTTTGTATGTTAGATGGATGTAATTCAAGTGGAGGAGAAAGGGTTTTATGTGAGGTTGGTGTGTAATAAAGGAGAAGGTGTTGCTCCATCACTCTACAAGTCTTTGGAGTCTCTTACAAGTTTCCAAGTGCAAAACTCCAACCTAAGCTCTCCTTCTTCTGACACATACCTCTTAACATATACATTAGATGTAAACCAACTGTGTCCTCTTCTCCCTTTTTTTTTTTTGTTTCTGTAAGTTCTGAATATACTAAGAGAGTTTGTTTGTTTGCTGAAAACAGGGGACTTATTTTGAACAGAGCTTAAACTTGCCTAACCTGAAGCTGTGGATCACTGGATCACTTCTAAACCAAGGTTTTGAATTCATCAAGCCTTTCACTTGATTCCATAACCCGGTTCTGCATCTCATTGATGGTCTTCCTTTCTGTATGCTTTTTTTAACTACCAGATATCTAATTTCAATTCAAATGATGATGTTGTAATCGAGATTGTTGATTCTCTCTATTGAATAAACATCATGTTCTAGAATAATTTAGCAAAGAAACAAGTAGTTAATGGAAGTAATTTATACACTTTTGTGTATAATCTCAAGTCTTTCTTTCTTTGATATATTATGTTGTAATGATTTCTTGAACATTGGTTATTGGTAAGAGACTAATGTTGTTGCAAGAATCATTCACATCTTGTTCTCTGTTTGATTAATAAACAATAAATGTTTTCCCTCCCACAAATATTGTACACACCTGAAATTATAGAACCATAAGACCTCTACATTACATAAAAGATCAAATCAGTTAAAACCATGGATTTCATTATAAGTGATGTTTAAGCAAAAAAAATATTGTTCATTTTAAATGATGTTTTATATTTATATTTCCATCATTGCAAAATTACATTTAAAGTTTTGTTTTTTTGGACCATATGTATTTTGTAATTTATGTTGTCATTGGTTGAATTTAAATTACTTTTAATTAGACAATATATAATGGTTTTTATATTACAGAAACTAAAAAAGTATTAAGTTTATATTTCTTTTTTGCAATGTGTGTAAATCATTAAACATCATTTAAAATGAAATGGAGGGATCGAGTACTTTGTAACATGATCCGGCCATTTGAGATTCCCATTGGTTAAATTTGAAATTACACAATCTATGATGCTTTTCTATTTTAAAAAAATCAAAATTTTATCGAATTTAGATATATTTAATATGTGTGTAAAAATTCTAAACATCATTTAAAGTGAAACCAAAGAAAAAAAATCGAGTACCTTGTAACATGATCTGGTCATTTGAGAGATTCCCATAGCAGTTTACGGTAGACAAAGATTCAGACAGTGCAAGACTCTCTTTTGAAGACTCTGCTGTTGAGATTCTGCACGGCCTTGTCAACAGACCAAGAACGGTGAAAAGGAAGTACTACGAGAGATACACTTTAGTCGAACAAAGAACCTCGCGCATGTGATCCATAAGGCTTGCAGAAGTAAAGATGTCAATAGACATTGCTTCTTCGGTGAAACGTCTATGGAGTCGTATAAATGCGGTAATGGCACTCCTTGAGCAAGATCTTGTTCCGACCATTGGCTTTTGCATCTTGTGGAACGTTGCATTCGAGTTGAGATTTGAGAATCTTGTGTTGGGTTAAAGACTTCAACAATGTTGATTATGGAGGTTAATTATGTGGTCAGGCTTGTGAATGCATATAAGGGTTTTTAGAGTCATGTTTCAAGGTTAGCAAATAGCAAGTTCCTGTCTCGGTAACAACTGAATGATAGTCAATCTTCTTGTTTCTTAAAAAAACTTAGCTTAGTGAAACACATAACGATTTTTAATATATATATTTATTTCATTGTTTGTATGTTATTGCTTTTAACTACTGATTTTTTTGTTAACGTTTTCCAACTTGTTAGTTAATTACATGCATGCTCCAATACTACAATTTCTTACTTAAGTACATCTCAAAATATCATTTGTATTTCAAAATTAACACTACAATCCTAAACTTTCAAAACTTGCACAAACCCTAAAGGTTTATAAATGAATGTTTTCTCTTACTAAGAAAATAAAATATTTTTTTTAAAAGTTTAGGAAGGGGTTCTAAATGATATTAAAATACTTTCTAAATTTCTAGAAATCCTTACTAAACATATAATTTAAGGTATTTTTAGAGAAAAAAAAACTTGGTTAAATACAATTTTACGATATTTTTCTTTATACTTTTATTTTTCTATTAGTAAGAAAAAATAAAATTTATAGGAAAATAGAATTTGTTCTTCTCAAGTGTTAACTTAGTGTGAAACGGTTGGCCCTTTTACGAAACGTGATTTTCTATGTTTCTAGTAGATGAGTTTAATGACCATTCGAATTACTATTGTTCTTGGTTTGAGTTTCGAGTTTTGCATTGCTTTCGCTCATAATAGTAACCATGTGACTCTGGATCTAGTTCATATGATGGCGATTGTTACTTTGTTTGGCCAATTTATCAGGTACATATAAACTTGGTTTGTTTTTATAAAATTATATATTTTTTTTTCTATTTGTCTGCTTTAATGGATTTACTTCTAAGCTATGATATAATCTCATATTCTGTACTGTTGGTTTCTTCAGGATGGATCTACTTAAATTTACTTAATGGATCTCCAATTTCAATATTTGCTCTTTCTTGGACATTTGGCTGCTGGGCGCCTTCGTAGAGTAAGACTTAATGGATCTCCAGTTTCAATATTTGCTCTTTCTTGGACATTTGGCTGCTGGGCGCCTTCGTAAAGTTCTCGTAAATGTGCGTGGTTTAAGCATCGATTCATACAGACAACATATATGTGCTCGTCTGAATGTTGGACTAAGTATCATTGGCATCTTTATGTTAGATGATCATCAACGCATGACTTCTAAGGATACGATCTATACAGTCACTGAGCCTGTTATGCCCACTGTCCAATAAGATTCACCCGTTTCACTACACTCGTCCTGAAGAACAAGTCTTGTTGTCTTTATCTGCAGATCCTTAATCCATTTCACCTGTGGGGAAAAAGAAATAAACAACACTCGTATGAGATTCAGCTTTGCTGGTTGTATTTCAAGATCTAGACTCGTGTGTGAGAGAGAGGAGAAACACCTTCCAATAAGCTTTTCCAGAGCCACTCTTTTTGAACAATAACCGGAATGCATTTCCAGAGCCAGTCTGGAGCAGGATCTCGTTGAGGATATGCCAGAAGAAATGTGTATCCATCGAAGTACAGGTAGTGAAGAGTAGGAAATAAGCATTCCAGTTGAGAAGGACCGGATATGAGCATTATAGTAGCCGAAGATGGATTATCATGGGTCCACTCTAACAAATCCGCTTCAACTTCTGTTTCAATATAAAGGAAAAGCAGCGTCGCTGAATCTAAAACCCTAATCAAGAAAGAAAGAAAAAAACAAATACTTGGTACAAAAGTTAAAGATAGAAGATTAACCGTGGGCATGTTTAAGAGCGATTCCAGTGGAAGAGAGCTCTCGGAGGACCTTGGCATCAGATGGGTTGCCAATGGCAGAGATGGTCAAAGAACCAGAGCAGCCTGAAGTTTTCAATGCAGATTCAATTCTCGGACGAACCAGACGAGGATCATAACCATTGGGAATCCGACAGCTGTTGATGTGCCACAACACCAACGTTTTGTCCTCCCCCTTCAATGTTTTAGCATCAACCAAAGTCAGTACAATACAAAATCATGCTATCAATTGTATATACAAAAAATAACGCAGCTTGGGGGTATTAAAAACTTGCCTTCATAAGATTCTTACAACACTCAATGTCTGCATTGTACAGCAAGTCCCACTCCTGCTTGACAATCAAATGCACAATTCAGTGGAAATCATAGAGGTATTCTTTTGGCAAGGGAAACTTGTGACAATGACGATTACAATTAGGTAAGGGGTCATTGTTTGAGATAAAGCTTGCCTTTATGGTGTCAGGGTCATTGTTTGGAGGCTCAGGCTTAACAAACAGTTTATTCACACCTTTGTAGCTACCCACGAGGTCCCACTCCTGCTTGACAACAACCAATTTATGCACATCATACGGTGACAAATTGTATTGGTACAACATTTTAGAAGCCGAGAGAGAGATAGAGAGAGATGCTTACAGAATATGCATGCTTTACACTCTTGAGATGCGTGGTGAAATCTTCAACGCTTTGGGCAGCATAAAAGCATACTGAGCAAGTCCATGGAGATTCACCCGGAAGAACAAGAGTTGTTGCCGTCTCCTCCTGTTTATCATCGTCAATGTCACCTGTGTGGAAAACAAATAACACTTGTGTGAGAGAAACAGCAGATTTGATGGTTTATTTCAGATTTCAAGAGAGAGACTAGGAACAAACAAACACCTTCGAGTAAGCTTTTCCAGAGCCACTCTTTAGAGCATTTCCAACCTTACTTCATTTTCAACTCCAAATGTTATTTTGGAGTAAAATTCTCTCTAACTCTACTCTATTTTCAACTCCAAAAGGGAGTAAACCTAAATTCTACTCTATATTTAGAGTAGATTTAAACTCTACTCCATTTTAGAGTTATACTTTTTTTATTTGCAATTTAATCCTTTAGATTTAAAATAATTATATTTTATACTATTTAATATTATAAAAATATTATAAAACTGATAATTATAAATATTTAAATACTGCAATTATTCTTACAAAATTAGAAAATATAAGAAATTTTAAAATACATAATAAGTGCTGAAATTAAGATAAACAATATAAATAAATTTAAGACAACAAATAAAAAAAACATTAATGATAAATTGTTTTAGTAATAGTAATGTTTAAATAAAAATTGCATATGTTTTTTTATAATTTTATGTAATTTTTATTATTTGATAAATATTTAAGTTATAGTTTTTGAAAAAAATTGTAAATAATAAAATAAGTGGGATTTATTTGTAAATTTTAAAACTAAAAAGTATTTACAATAAAATCGAATAAAAATCTATATAGAATATTCTTTTTAAAAGTAGAAAATGGAAAAATACATTAGAGCAAAACACAACTCCATTTTGAAGTTACTCTATTTTGGAGTAGATAATGAAGAAATACATTGGAGATGGTCTTAGAAACACCATTCAAATAGCTTTTCAAGAGCTCATCTGGAGCTGGATCTTGAAGATATGCCAGAAGAGTTGTGTATCCCCTTTGCTCTACGCTTTCAAGTGTAGGAGCTAATCTTCTCAGTTGAGAATGACCCGATATGAGCATTACAGTAGCCGGAGACGGATTATGATAGGTCCACCCATACAAACCCCATACAATATCTGTTATCGTTAAAAGGAAAAGCAAAACGTCGATGAATCTCAAACCCTAATTTTGATTATACGAAAAATCAATTACTTGAAAGAGAAGATGATGAAAGAAGATTAACCGTGGGAATGTTGAAGAGAGATTCCAGTGGAAGAAAGCTCTCGCAGGACCTCGTCGCCAGGTGTCTGTATTAGGTCGCCAATGGCGGTGATGGTGAGAGGACCACGGCGAGAGTAGCCTGATTTCTTCAACGCCGATTCTATTCTCCGACGAACCAGACGAGGATCGAAACCATCGGGAATCGGACAGCCGTT